AGGCAGGCTGGGTAGCTGTGCAGCACAGCGGCTGCCTGCAGGGAGCTCCGGCCACTAATAACGATGTCCTGTGGCCATATCACATGCGGGGCCAGCCTCCCAGCAGGGTCTGGCGGGGGAAGAGAACCAGAACCGGGGTTGTTGGGCACGAGGAAGGGAAGATGTCATTTCTCTGCTCAGAGCCCCAATGGCTCCCAGTGCCACTCACCGAAAAGCCACAGGCTTTGCCATGGCCTGAAAGGTCCATGGTGGAGCTCTCACCAATGAGAAACCTGAGTTCAAGTCCCAGTCAGAGCACCTCATGCGTAGCACCCTCCACCACCTGCCTTTAGAGGCTAGCATGTTGCTGTGAGGCTGAATAGGTGTGAGTTTCCAGGCCAAGACAGAGCAGGAAGGAAGGCCTGGAGAATTCCTTCCCCACAGAAGAATCAGCCAATGAAAACCCCATGGATCACAGTGGTCTGGGCCCTTTGTGTTGGGGTTGCCCCGTGTTGGGACTGGCACAATGGCAGCTGGTAACAAAGGCCATGTAAGATCTGGCCCAAGCACCTCTCTGCCCACTTTCTTCCCCTCTCCCTGCCGCTCAGTCGAAAGAGTAAAACCATGAAGCTGGAAGGGCGGGTGCCTACAGATAGATGTCTACAGCGCCGATGAGGGGAGCAGAGAGTAGGCCTGAGACCAAAGTGTCACTGTCTACGCCAGTGTCATGGATCGCACCGTGTCCAACAAAACAACTATACAGAATATGTTTTTCCTTAAAATTCAAAATAAATGAAAATTTTTTTTTCTTAAAGAGAGAGTGAAGGTTCACAGCCTTAAAAACCCTCCCAATTCCTGACCCCTTGGATCTGAACCTTGGTTTGAATGGCTATCAATGGGGGGAAAGTCAAACTGAAGTGGACTGGAATTCTTTGGTGACAGACCAAGTTCCTTTCAAACATACGAAAGAAACAAACAAACAAACAATCGTTAAAAAAAAGGTCCTGAGGGTGGGAGGGGGGATGGGAGAGGGGAAAAAAGGAGAGCTGATAACCAAGGACTCAAATAGAAAGTAAATGTTTAGGAAATAATGATGGCGACATGTGTACAAATATGCTTGATGCAATTGATGTATAGATTGTTATAAGAACTACAAGAGCCCCCAATAAAATGATCTTTTAATAGTAAATAAATAAATAAATAAGAGAGCTCTATGCTGCAAATGGTCAAAAATTACTTTTACAAAGATGAGAAGGTAAGGAGATTGGAAAATAGAATCCTGGAAATGACACAACCAGAATGGAATGACCGAGAAAGACGACATATTGTAAAACGTGTAACCAATATCACCGAATAAATTCTGTAGAGATTGAAAAATAAGGTCTGCTCTGTGCATTCAGCCCTGACAAGAGCTAGCTAACTGGGGCCCAGAGCGACAACAGCGTAACTAAAGATTCCTGGGAGCCTTGGGAAGTGGGGGGCAGTAAGTTCATAAAGCTGGGGGTGGAGAGACTCAGCAAAGGAGGGTGGGGATGGTCACATCACCCCCAGAATGTCACCAGTGCCACTGAGTGGTCCCTTACAAACTGTCGGATGTAAACTGAGTCAGAGAGAGGGGCAGAGAAAAAGAGGAAGCCCCAGATGAGGCGTGGCCCCGTGGCTGGGAGACCCAGTAGGGTCTCCTTCTGCAGTACAGCGAGGCCGCTGTGAATCAGAACAGACCCGAGGGCGTCTAAAAACAAACCTGAGAGAGCCCTGGTGGAGCACTGGTTAAGAGCTCGCCTGCTAACTGAAAGGCCAGTGGTTCGAACCCACTGGCAGCCCTGAGGGGGAAGATCTGGCAAAGATGTCGAGGTTTGGAAGGCCTAAGAAACAGCTCTGTTCTGTCCGGTTGGGCTGCGGGGAACGAACATCCGCTCGGCAGCCATGGGTCTGGCTCTCACAAATTGTCAGGGAACAGGCTGACAGGGAACGCTCCTTTTTTCTGTTATGGGATCTGAGACGTCAAGAGTTTTAGTTCCTCTTCCGGGGAGCTCTGTGATAGGGGGACATCCCACAGGAGATAGGTTGCCTTAGAGACACCAAGCCCCCCGCCCCCATGCCCATCAGCCCTACCAGCGCTGACACATCATCAGTATTGGGGCCACATAGACTACACGGGGGTGGGGGAGATGGGGACACGAAGGGACAGCCAAAGCCCCTTTGTCTCTTAGGGGGACTCACACGGCAGCGTAGAGGCCTCCACAGGCGGAGTGGAAGAAGCCCCGGACCATGGTATGCAGGATGAAGGTCACAAACTGAAACCGAGGGAGCATGAAGCCGTTACAGTGGGCAGAGTGGGATGGGGTCTAGCTGAGCACGCCTTCCCCCCTCCTCCCACCAACCCCTTAGAAACACTTCCTGGGGAACCCAGAAAACCCCAAGACCAGAAAGACAGGTGATGGCAGGTCTTCCCTCTGGGGAGCCTCAGAGGCTGGGGTGGAAGGGGCGCCTTGGTGGCACAGGGGTCAGGCATTCTGTTGTGAACCTAAAGGTGAGTGGTCTGAACAGTTCCCCGGGAGAGAGACGTGGCGGTCGGCCTCCCTCCGTCAAGATCTGCAGCCTTCGAAACCCCGTGGGGCAGTTCTACTCTGTGCACGAGGGTCACTGGGAACTGGGAGCCTCTCAGGAGAGGCCCAGAAGGGGAAGGGGGGAGGGGGTGGGCTGGCGCAAGTACCTGGAGGTGCAAGTTGCTGATGAGGCAGGTGATGCCGAAACCCACCAGCAGGAGGTTGGTCAGGGTGAAGGCGTTGATGGCATTGGTGAGCTTCTGGATCTTGCGGTAGCGGGGTTTGGTGGTCCTGGGGGTGAGCTCATCCCTGGGGAAGAAGAGTCACAGGCTGCTGCCTCAACCTCCCCAACAGCCACCATCCCGCCCCACCCCCTCCCCATGCACACACACTGGCCAGCCTTCCCCTGACCTCCTGCTCAGTACTTCTCTGTGCCTGGTGACCCTAGCCAACTCTACCAGCGTTGCCTGGGGGGTGGGGAGGGCGGCTTTCTTGAAAATACAGGTTCCCAGGCCCCACCCGACATGTCAGACGCTCAGGGGTGGAAGCCAGGAATCAGCATTCTGCCCTGTACCTCCGTGTTCCTGACATGGGCTGCCCTGTGAGATCAAAGCAAGGGAAGACGCGTGGGGAACAGGAAGCGAGGCATCTCAGCCCCACCCAACACAGCCTGATGGCAGAAAGCAGGCGCTGTCCGCACAGTGCTCCCTCCCCCGCCCACCATGAACAAGATGCTCCCAGGCCAGCCCAGCGGAAAGCTTAGGAGGCAGGGGTCAGGGCCCGCTTTCCATGTGTCCTGGCCTCAAGGGTCTGGCTAGTGGACACAGGCTCTCAGGAACAGAGGGCCGGGCACGGTTGGCAGGGAGGGAAGCCACTAGATGGGCAGATGCCTTCCTTCTCTCGCAGCCAGAAGGCCTGTGCTGACCAAACCACATGATGCTCCCGAGGGCCCCTGGCATTCACGACTTTTGGGGTGCCTCCCACACATGCGCGGTCCTGGCTGGCCTTTGTGTATGTGATTCCCACACTGCACAGGCCTTGGTCTTTGTGACCAGAATAGGGCCCCAGGGGTGGCACCTCGCGCCCGGGGTTAGGTTATAAAAGACACCGAGGCTCCATCATAGGGCCGTCTCTCTCTGACTTGTTTCCCTAGGGAGGTGTGGAAAAGAGCCGAACTTTCCGTCAACAGTCCTGAGAGAGCGCTCAGAAGCAGGTTCTCCCCAGTCAGCATCCCTGGCAGCTGCAGCCCTGAGGGGATCTGAGACCGGCACCGGAACACCCCCACCCCCACCCCCACCTCCATCGTTCCCAGGTTCCTGCCCAGCACCAATGTGACATAATAAATGCCTGTTCTTCGGTTCAAGACATGGAAGCCATTTGTCAGGAGCAACAGCTGTCTGATGCCCTTAGCCTGAAGAAGGTTCTAGACACAGACACACCTCATTTGCCTGTGCTTTGCCCAACTGCGAGTTGTACATGTTGCAGGTCTGTGGCAAGCCTGCGTGGGGCAAGTCCACCCGCGGCATCTCCCCAACTCCCCTGCAGGCACGAGTGCCCTATGTGTGTCCGTGACACATACTGCGAAGGCTCATGGTCTCTCAAACTCCTTCCTCATGCTAACTGCTCACTTCCTGGACCACCACCTAGTATAAACATCACCTTTCTGTGTGCCGGAAAACAAAAAAAAAACCCGTCCAAATCAAGGGACTGACTTTCTTGCCCGCCTGGCTTGACTGCGGAGGTCCGGGACGGGCCCAGCACTCAGAGGCCTGTCTGTCTACACGCTGCAGCCTGTTGCTGGGGCTTGGATAAGCCACTTAGTCACCTTTCTATGTCTCCGATCTCCTGCCTGTGACATGGGGCAACCACAACCCTGCCGTTGTGAGGACTCACTGAGACTCTCGGCAAGGTGCCTCCTGCATCCTCTCACTTTCCTCCTCTGTGAAATGAGCTCTCCCGAGAACAGCGGGATGGGAAAGCACACAGAGCCCTAAGCCCAGCCTGAGTTCCTGCTGCCCCCACCCCTGTGGGGGTGTCACCTGACAGTGCCCTCGGCGGGGGTGTCCACGCAGTCCTTGATCCGCCAGTCCATGATGTAACCAATGAGGGGGCAGGTGAGAAGGCACAGTAGCTGCATGGCCCCGAAGATGGAAGAGTAGAACCCAACTGGGCAAGACGGGAAGGAGAGTGGGGTCAGGAGCTGGTCCAGTGGGTGCCAGTGGGCAGTGCCACCCACTTCCAGCAGAGGAGCAGTGCCAAGAGCCTTCCTCCGTTCTCAGGTTCCTAACTCCCCCAAGGGCTCAGGGTGACAGCCTTCATGCCTACCTGTCTCTTCTGCCCTTCGTTTCAGGTCATCCGTCTCTGTGGGGAGTGGGGAGCGGAGGTGAGGGGGCTTAGCCAGGGGGATCCCCTGTGCCACCCCAAGCCCCAGCACCTCACCATGCTTCTGGCCACCGGTCACAAAGAACTCCAGCATCTTGTTCATGGTGGCCATGTAGAAGATGATCCGCAGCTGGGTCATGCCCATGGTGAGGAGGCTCCACAGGAAAATGGGGGCACAGAGGCTCTTGCGGAAGGGGATGGATTCTGGGAACACAGCAGGGGGCATTCCTGAGCTCCAAGCCTTCCAAGTCCTCTGCGGGTCCCAGCCCAGTGGTTGGAATGGCGCCTTTGACACGGACTTCCTGGGTTTGGAAGGACATCTTCCTTCCTCTGCCTCTCCCCTGCCCCTTCCAGCTGGTTCAGACTTGCCCATCTCCAAGTCCTTTGTCAGCTCCAGGACCTGTGCTGGGGGGTGAGCTGTCACTGCGCTGGCTCCTGACTATGAAGAACCACCAGATGTCAGAACAGCCCTGCCCCAGCCCCACGGTGGCTTGAGGACCATCTCTAGTATTTTCAGTGATTTCTGGAACTAGATCACCAGGCCTTTCTTTCTCATCTTCATCTGGAATTTTCACGGCTATTGAATCAATGCCAACGGCTTCCAGCGACCCTCCAAAGGCAGAGTAGAACTGCCCCCATGGGTTTGCCAGACTGTAACTCTTGACTGGAGGAAAGCTGGTGGTTTCAAACTGCTAACCTTGCAGTTAGCAGCTCGACGTAGAACCCCCCTATGCCTCCAGGGCTCCCTCTTAGGCTGGAGGCTCCACAGAAACCTGTTCAGCAAGAGGGGGGCCTCCAATGAAAGACAAGTCATGGCGGCTCACAGGTACAACTGCCAGAAACCCAAGCCAGGGCTCCCGCTTACAACGACTCACTGAACACTTTAGTGTGTGTCACATGGAGTGACACAGGTGGCTATGAACCAGAGGCTGGCAGTCTGAGTCTACCCAGAAGTGCCGTGGAAGACAGGCCTGGTGATCTTCTTCCAAAACACCAACCACTGGAAACCGTTTGGAGCTCTCAACTTTGAGCAGCTCTGTAGAGTAGATGAACCATGAATTGATCGCCGGGATAACCTTTAACCCTGACTCCAAACCTATCCCCTGAAGTCATCTGAAAACCAAACAATAGTTTAGCTTAACTAGTGGGGAACAAAGGGCGGGTTTAACCTTCAGCATTATACAGAAGCCCTGATAGCACAGTAGTTACATGTTGGGCTGCTAACCAAGAGGTCAGCAGTTTGAAACCACCAGTCGCTCCTCCGTGAAAAGGATGGGGTTTTCTACTCCTGTAAAGAGCCACAGGCTTGGAAACCCACAGGGGCAGTTCTACTCTGTCTTGTAGGGTCCCTGTGAGTCGACATCGCCTCAAGGGAGGTGAGTTTGGAGTGCTGGAATTCTGGAGCGCTATGTACATGTTACACGTGTGTAGAATCAGCCTGGCAACAGCCACTGGAAAGATGGGAGAGGAACCTCAGGGGGCAGCAAGTTTATGTTAACAAGGGAGGACCCACTCGGAAAGAGGGCGAGAAGGATTGTACAGCTCGAAGGCGTGACCCACGTCCCTGCACTACTGTATATCTAGAGAAGCTGTTGGAGAGGCGCGTGTTTTGCTTTGCACATTCTCAACAAGTTAAAATCCCAAAAGAAAAAGGAAACCCCAAGAGTGCAGCCAGCTCGTGTCGGACACACACGGAGTCGTCCTGAGCTGGAAGCCCCTTGGGGGGCAACGATGTGGTGGGTTTTCTCTGTGCTACATGCATTTTCCCATGCAGCCCCATCAGAACCACCCAGGGTCGACCCACATTTCACAGGTGAGGAAATGGTACCCCCAAGAGGTTGAATGATGGCTGGGGGTGGCCCTGGGGGTGATGCGGGTTAAGCGTTGGGCTGGAGGTTCTCACCGCCAGCTGGGGGAGATGAGATCCCAGCCCCAGAATCCCACAGAGGCAGGTCTGCCCTGTCCTACAGGGGTCACTGTGAGTGGGAACGGTTGGAATACCAGGCCAACCAGATTCGAAATCGGGCGAGAAACGGCTCCATCCATCAGTGGGGGGTGTCACCCCTCATAGCTTGGAAGTTCCCACAGAGATGCCACCCTCACAACTCCCTTCCCTGGGAAGTTATCTGGGTCCAGTAATGAATCTGCCCTACTCAATGGCAGTGAGGTTGGTTTAAGGAGTGAGAAAAAGTTGAATGGGTGATCGACCCACATTACATGGCCTGAAAGTGGGGAGTCGAGGCTCAGACTCTTATCTCCCTGGCTCTGCTCCTTCCACTCAACCAGGAAGCTGGCAGTACCTAGGTCTTGGGCACCTTGGGAAATGACCCAACTGGCTCCCTGAGATGTGGGGAGAGTGCAATTCCTAGTGCAACCGGCAGGGGGAAACCAACTAACCGCTCTCCGGGCTGCTCAGAGCTCTGGTGGTGCAGGGGGTTGGGTGCTGGGCTGCTGACAGCACGGTCTGGGGTTGGAAACCACCAGCGCGCCTCAGGAGAAAATACAAAACGGGATTTTCTATTCCCGTAAAGAGTTACAGTCTTGGAAACTTGGTGGGGACCGTTTTCACCCTGTCCTATTGGCATCGACCCCATGGAGTGAGGGTTTTATTTGGTTTGGGGGGCTGCAGCTGATGTAAGCTGATGTATGCAGGTTGCAAGTGTCTCTGCCTGAAGACCCTGCATGCCCCCCCCCCTGTAGCTCCTCCCTCTCTCCTCTTGAGAATCCAGCAGGGTCCCCGAATCTAAATTTCCCTGAGCTCTCTGAGCATCTGTAAGCAGGAAGACAAAAGAGTCCTGATGGTGCAGTGGTTAAGCGCTCAAATGCTAGCCAGAAAGTCCACCGGACCCCTGCCGCATCGCGTAAGCTAGGCCTGGCACCTGCTCCTGTAAAGACTGCAGACTAGGAAGGCCGGGGGCAGTTCTGCTTTGTCACAAGGGGGTCACGCATTGGGGAGGCATGTCCCGTAAGCACTGAAGGGGTGAGAGGGGGAGTGCCCCCACAGGAGTGTTCACTTGGCCTGAGAACCTGCCCTCCCTGCCCTTCAGATGGGCACCACAGCCAGCCACTCACTCTGCCGAGTTTTTTCCAAGGTGGCCTGGACATCCTGGGATGGGATGAAGCCGTCAGCACTGTCCTCCAGGCTGGGGGCCTTCTGGCTCAGCCGCTCGCCCACAGTGGTCACGTGGTTGTAGAAGCGGTCACCTGTCACCTTGTGGTCCAGGGCCAGCCCCTTGAGTTTGATCTTCTTCCTGGCGGTGGGCAGCCCAGAGCATGTGGGGACTAGCCCCATCAAGAGCCCACCTCCCCAACTGTCTGAGATGCCTTTGGCCCAGCATGGTCCTGTCCAATGCAGTCCTACTGCGAGCCGCTGAGAGCCGGGGCTTAGCAGAGGTGCTCAGCAAGTGCCGAGCCAAGAGGTCATTCCCAGGGAGGAGGGGGATTGAAGAGTCACCTCTTCCAGTGGCATGACCTTTGCTCCCTGACCCTTTCGGTTCTGCCCCTGTCAAGTGGAGTTCACAGCAGCCATGTCACAGGGCTGCTTGAGAACCGCAAGGGGCAACTCCCAGGGAAACAATGGGCACTCAACAATGCCAGCTGTCACCCAGATGCCCACCCCCACCTGTTGCTGTGGTTCTCCTGACTCTAAACCCCTCTCACAAACCCCACAAGGACAGCGGCAGTTCCCAACTATCACTCCCTTCTGGACGCCCACTCTGGGCCAGCCACAGCACCCCACACTCACGTGTAATTGACCTCCTCAGGGGCTGGGAAGGCTTCTCTGGGCCAGTTGAGGGCACAATTCAGGAAGATGAGGCAGGCTAGGCCAGACCAGGTGAACATGATGACCACGAAGGCCACCCCTGCATCGTAGATCAGCTGTGGAAGAAGGAGCGGCCAGTGGTGGGTGCGCCCTGCCCACATTCACCCTCTGAAGCTCCTGTGGGTAGGCTGAGCCTTTAAACCAGGGGTAGGGAAGCCTTGTTCTACCAAGGGCCATTTGGATGTTCATAACATTGTTTAGGGGCCATGCACAATGATCACCTTAAAAATTAGCCTGCTCCAACATATGTCCAAATGTGCTTGATACAATTGATGTATGCATTGTTATAAGAGCTGTAAGAGCGCCCAATAAATTGATTTATTAAAGAAAAAAAATTTGCCTGCTCGACTGGTCAAAGGTGCCCTGGGGGCGTAGTGGTTATAGATTGAGCTGCTAACTGCAAGGCCAGCAGTTCCAAACTCCCAGCTGCTCTGAGGGAGAAAGACAGGGCTTTCTACTCCTGTCAAGAGTTAATCCCAGAAACTCACGGGCAGTTCTACCCTGTCCTATAGGGTCGGGATGAGTCAGCATCAATTCCATGGCCGAGTTAGGCTTGGTTCCTGTGATGGCTGGAAATGCTTCTCTTTGGTCAAGGTGTGTGATGTTGGCAGGGGCCCATGCAGGCCGGATGTACCCCCACCCCTGCTCTAAACTAACAAATGAACTGCCCCAAGTCTGAAGGGCAGGCACTGAAAAGATACTTTGATTTAATGGCTACCAGCTCTTCCCACTCAGGCCTCAGAGGCCTTCAGAAAGGCCTCTTCTTCCCACTCTACTCCTTTCCCCAGCTTCCACTAAGCAAGTGTCCTCTAACCAAGGCCAGAGGTTAGAGCCTCACCTAGAAGCCTCCCCTCCCCTCTCCCTTCCTTTGAGACCCAAGCCCCTCTAAAGAAGGATGATTCCATCCCCACAAAGTGATGCAGCTGCTGCCCCCCGCCCCCAGCTCCCGTAGTTTTGTAGTCTCAATTCCCACCTGTGAAATGGGCACACATTTTTTTGCCCCGACTCACACGTCCGTGTTTGTCTGCACACACACTCAAATTTCATTTCATCTCAGCCACTCCCGAGAACAAGTGGCCAAGGTCAACCCAGGAGCAGCTGTGTGTGCTGCACTCTTCTGGAGTTCACCTAGGAAAGGTAAACCCAGCAGGGGAAGCCTTATCTCGCCTCTCATGGGTGCCCGCCGGAGCAGCACACCCCAGGACAAGCAGGCTCTGTGTCCACTTGGATTCTGCTCAGGTGGCATGGGGGTGAAGATCCAGGTCCTCAACCCCCACCCTCTGCAGCCAACTGGTACCTGCTCAACATGCCCACCCACATGCCTTCTCGACTCCTTTGGGGACTCGGAACAACTGTCCTCTAACCTAACAGGTGAGCTGTTTCAACAAAGCTAACTAATGTAACACACACCCAAGATCCTGGAGTCCGAGAGGAAGACCAGGGCTCTGATACTGTTTAACAAAGGAAGAAGCAGGAACTCCCGCCAGACAGAGTTGGCTTATCCCCAAGGCTGACGTAGCCAGGTTCTATCTAGCCTGGCAGACCAGCTTTGGGACCCTGGACCGGAGTCACCCAGCCTGTCTGGGAGGTGTCAGAGATGTGGCCACACCTTGGTTGGGGTCAGATTCTGGGGGCTTGGATGCATGTGCAGAGGTTGGACTTTGTTCTGGAGAAGTTCTAGTGGGTGTGTGAGTCAGGCCTGGATCTAAGAAAGATCATTCTAGAAGCCTTGTCAACCACAGAATAAATCAAGTGGACACTGAGTCATGGCAACCCTTGTGTGGCAGAGAAGAGCTGTGCTCCAGAGGGTTCTCCAATGACGGGTTTAAAAACCATGTCTCAATCCCTCGCAGAAGGGCTACAGGGAAGGAATGATATATCCAGGATGCAGTAGAGCACTGATGAAACCCATCACTTTCCTCTCGTTCTTTAAAATGTCCTCCTCCCACTATTATGGCTTTAGTTTTACCTCACTACTCTTGCTAGACCTGTGTATGTACATTGATACAAATAAAGGTCTTTTGCTGCATAAGATCCAAGATAGATAAATCTCTCAGAAACAGTAATGACAGTAATGAGTCCCTGAGGGTACCGGAAGAGATGAGGGGAAAGGAGAGGAAGGGGAACTGATAGCAGCGATGACTACTGTATAAGCCCACTCAAGGGGAACAGACATCCGAATTTTAGGTAAATGGATACATTGGAAGGTGTAAGTTATGGCAAAAAAAAACTATAATAATAATATATTAAAGGTTCAGGGGGGTGGCAGGGTGGGGAAGGGAAGGGCTAAAGAGGAGCTGATATCATGGAGTCAAAGAAGAAAATGTATTGAAAATTATGATGGCAGAAACTGTACAACTATGCTTGATCTATGGGCCTATGGAGTATAATTATACATGTAAGAGCTCCTAATTAAACGTTTTTTGTTTCTTTTTTAAATTCATGTCCAGGCCTTTCTTCTTCTTTTATATCATTTTATTGGGAGCTCATACAACTCTTATCACAATCCATACATC